GGGTAGGCGGGAGGAGGTGGGAGGAGCCAGGGAAGACCTAGCTGGGGAAAGGACTGCCACTTAAGTTTCTTTTGCTCTCTGGGCCTTTCTGTAAAAGAAAGGGAGTAGCCTGGATGATCTCCAGAGACTGTTGCAGCTCCCCTCTTCTGTGGCTCTGGAAGTAGGAGGCATTCACTGCTGGGCTCTGCGGGAGGTCCAGGAGTGGGAGGAATTGAGTATTGAAGATTGTTCCCCTGGTCACTTCAGGAGAAGACTGTTCAGAGACTGTGGGCTCAAAGCAGACGGGCGCCGTCTGAGGCAGAAGGGAGGACCCCCTGTGCTGGGCTCTGAAGCTTCAGAACTGTCAGGATCCACGTGGAGCCCAGGGATTCTGCTCCTCACAGCAGAGAACCTACCTGTTAGTCTGTGGATCCCTCCCCGCGCCACACACACTTCTTTTTAAAAGCACACTGCAGTAGGCCTGTATTTTATAGTGTATTCTCTTTTTCACCATTATGGAAGTTTATTAGGGAAGTTAACAGGTCAACACGAGTCTGGATCAGAGAACATGAAGGATAAACAGTCTTTGGTTTATTGACAGCAGTGCTTCTGCTCAGCCAACAGCCATGTGTCTCTCTGGTCCTCCAAGGGCCCCGCAGCCTGGCTGCTGCTCTGCCACACAGTCTCATGTCCCTGTCTCGGTGCTGTGGCCTCTGCTGCCTCCACCAGGAATCTCGAACGAGGCGGCCTCCACCTCTTCAGGCGAGGCTCACACACGCTCTGCTGGGGACTATTTTTCACTGATGGCCTCAGGATTTCGCTCTTCAGGCTTCTGAGAGGCCTCGTCCTTAGCGCCATGGCAATGGCAAAACTGACGAGGCCCCGAGTTAGAATCCCCTACCCCTTATTTGCATGGTCCCACCTAATCATTTGGTGAGGGTCATAGAGAATAGGCGTTTGCTTTAAGGGTTCCGGTCTGGAGGCTTGGCATCATGGCCAGTGCAGCCTCAGGTGCAGACAGGAAAGATCCTGAGCTCGGCAGACAAGTCTCAGCGCCACCCTTAGTGAACTTGTAGGCGCCCTGAGGGGTCGTGGTGACCAACTGGGCTGCTAGCCCTTTAGACGAGGCTGTCCATTCCCTCAGAGTTACCTGCCTCCGGTGAGTTCCCTCTTCCGTAATAGAGGGAGGGCCAGAAACTGCTTACCGGACAGCATTGGAGAGACGACTATAGGAGATCAGCAATGTTAACCTGACTTCAAGTGTTACAACCTTGTCATTAGATCCTCCCTCTGATGCATATTGGGCCTGATCTGGTTGCCAACATTTTCTGGTTTTGTTTCATTTTTATGTATTGGGGTTTATCTCAGATATATTTTGTCATTGGGCACAACTTTCTTGAATTTTTGTTGTATCTATTTTTTTCTGTTCTTCAGTATATGAAACCCAGGATTGATGCGCCTGTAGAGACAGCAAGTAGAGTAATAAGGGTTCCTGGGGGGTACACTGGGAGGGGGTTTAAGGGGAGCTGAGTTTAAGAAGCAAGAGAATGATTTGAAACTGATTGTGGTAGCAATTGTACAGTACTGCTTGATATGATTGAACTATGGAACGATATGATATCTGTATTACTCTTAATAAAATGGTTTTGGAAAAAAAGAAGAGTGACCCAGAGAAAAACACAGGGGCAGCCCTGCCCTGTCCCAACGGGCGGCTGTGAGTGGGAATCAGCTCAACTTCAGTGAGTCTGAGGCCGAGTTCCCTGTGAGCAGCTCGTGCTGCTTTGTGTAGTGGCAGTTCGCACTTACTCTCATGGGAGCGACGGGAGCCTTTATTTCACTATGGCATTTAGTTATACTCTGGCTGGAGAGGAGGCTGGTACAGGTCCAGGCCTTTCCTTCCTCCTGATCTCCTTCCGAGCAGCATCAGTACCTGCTAACTCACCTGGGTGTGCTCAGAGCTTGCACTTTACAAAGCATCATATTCATTGTCCACTTGATGGGGATTGAGGAGGCACTCAACTTGTCCAGGGTCCTAGAATGTCCATGTGGCTGAGCTCAGGGCCCTCGACTTCCCGTCCACTGCCCTTTCCTATGGGCTGGGCTGCCACTCCTGGAGCCCAGGGAGAGAAACTGCTGAGTGAATGTGTGGGCAGGAGGGTGGGCAGGAGGAGAGACAGCCGAGTGAAGGCAGGAAGCACAGGGAGGAAGTGGGACGAGCGGTGTTGCAATGAGTGAGATGATGCAAAATATGTATGAATTGTTGAGTGGGAAACTGATGACCTCTGGGAATCCTTACCTAATTCACAAGAAAAAGTTAAAAACAAACTAAACTGAAAAATGCCTGGGGCAGAGGGCCTAAAGCATGTGGCTAGCCAAGGCGGCTAGCCATCTGTCTGTCCATTGGAGGCCTCTCATGAAAGGGGGTCTGCTTAGGTTTAGTATGGCTTATTCTCAGTGTATGAGATCCACTTAGAGGACAGAGTAGATTCAGGACTGGAGTTCCTGCCTATTTCTCTGCTCCCCCAATTTCTGTTCCCAATCCTTTCTGGGGGTACACAAATTGGGGTCAGAGATGGGTGTTTCTGTTTTACCCCGCTTCTTTTTTTAATTGGGGATTATATATATAATTCCTTTAAAAATACAGATATTCCTAAGTGTATAAAGTAAAAAATGAGGCTCCTGCTCTTATCCTTCCCAATCTCTACTGACTTTCTTTTTCCTTTATCCAATTCTGAATTGTTCATCTTTGTTTAGTTAGGGAGTATCCTTTCAGATCGTTTATAGTATGTGCAGAAACACAAGGATCTGTTGTTGAGGTTATTGTATTGTTCTTTAAATATAAAATGGGACCATGCTTTTATTTCTCTCCCTTTCTATTGCTGCAAGTTGCTTATTCCAACAAAACCGTTCCGAGGGATCCTTGCTGCTCTTGGAAATCAGCTCATCTTCTCCAAGGGGAAAATGATAAGATGATACTTTGTTTCAAGTCCTCACATGTATATTTATATTTATGTCATGTTCTATGAATTTCTGTTTTTTAACCTTTTACTGTAAATCAAGTGGAGGTTTACAGAGCAGACCACAGGGTGCATCTGACAGTTCAAGCACATTCTGATTCCGATCCATCCATTGCCATCGATCTTTTCAATGTCCCGTCACTTATCACACTTTCCCTTGTTGTTTCCTGTTTCCTTTCCTAACCCCTGAACTTTGTCCTTGGGTAAATGCTGTTCTTTTGATCTTATATTGTTCATTATTTTAATACCTGGATGAGTTCAGTTCCAGACTAACAGCCAAAGTCTTAGGGGTACCACCAGCCTCTAACCAACCAATAGGCCTGTTCTCTTTCATGATTTTGAGTTCTGTTTTCACAGTTTGCTCTCACTCTGTCCAGGACCTGAGGAGCCCTGGTGGTGTAGTGGTTACTTGGCCTGTGATCAGCATGGTCAGCAGTTCAAAACCTCCAGCAGCTCCTCGGGAGAAAGACTGGGCTTTCTGCTCCTGTAAACAGTGACAGTCTCAGAAACCCACAGGAGATTGCTCTGGGTCAGCATTCACTCAGTGGCAGTGAGGGTTTTTTTCTTTATCCAGGACCTGCTAGTGTGACCTTTTTCAGAGCAGTTGGTAGTGGTAGCTGGGCACCGTCTTGTTCTTCTGACCTCAGGGAGTGGAGGCCGATGTTTGTGTGGTCCATGAGTCCATTGGACTCATTGTTTCTGTGTGTCTTTCGATTTTCATCACTCTTCCTACCTCTGGACAGGAAGAGACCAATGATGGCGTGTCAGGGGTAGCCCAAGACCCTGGTCACTACTCACCAAGTTAGGATGTAGAACATTGTCTTTGTGAACTATAGTATGCCAATTGACTTTGGTTTCTCCTAAGACTATGGTCCTGACTCCTCAGTCCCAGTGACTCATTCCTGCAAGGTATTAAGTTATATCTAAGAAGTTTTCATAACTTTGTCTCCTGTATATTCCACCACACTCATGGATACAGGACAACAAAAGTAAATCATACACATATACAAATATCCTCAGTCAAACCTATTTGTGGGTATACCTCTACTCTCCCTCTTTTACCTGTTCAGCCTGTAGGTCTATCCAAGCATCTGCTCACAGAGCTCCAAGGTTGCAGGATTGTCTCTGTAACAGTATTTACCTCTTCTGCCTCGAACGCTTGCAAACCTTCCCATGTCTTCTCTTGCCAACGTCCTTTCCCCCTTAGGTCCCTCTTACTGTGTGTGGCCTTCCCTATCCCTCAATGTAACACTCGCCTATGCTTTGGTCCACGATGCCCCCTCCTTTCCTCTCTTTCCACCCTCAGTGGGATGTTTATTTAGTGTCAAAACCTAGTCTTGCCTTTTTACAATAGTGCTCTCATACCTATTTGTCCTCTTGTGTTAAACCCTCCCTGTCCCTGGTCAGTCCCAGAAAGGTGCAATGACAGCCCTGTACGTGGCAGACCCAGCTCTCCTGCCTTCTCTATCATCAGGGCTGTGCATTTGAAACAGGACCTTTCCCTGCGTAGCCTTCAGATCCATCCTAACACCGTCCCTGTGAATTCCGCGGGGCTGCAATTATTGAGGGCTGGGGCCAGAAGCGGCCTGCTTGAGTTCAGTGCTGAAAGACCTCTTTGGTTGAGTTCAGTTCACCCACTGTCTCCTGAGGGGTTGCTGTGTGCCAGATGCTGTGACCGTAGAGGCAGCCTGACTGCAGGCCCTGCTTGGAGGTGGTGACTGGCTGCCCTTTGGAGAGACGTCCATTGTCCCTGGGAAGGGCCTGGATTCCGGGCCCAGGCAAAGGGGTGGGATTCCCGAGGAGCTCATTTGGGGTGGGAGGGGAGCCTGTGACCTGCCTACCTTCTCATGACTCTTTCCCCATCCCCATTTTCTCGGACCCTCCCTTGCCCCCTCCTCCTCTGACTTTTTGTCTATTCGTCTCCATCTGTCTCCATGTGTGGCTTCTGCCCCATTCCTGTCATATCACTGCCCCTCTCCCCTGCTCTCCTTCCTGCCAATGCAGGTGTGGTGATCACCATGACAACAGAGACAGGCCCCGATTCTGAAGTGAAGAAGGCTCAGGAGGAAGCCCCACAGCCGCCAGAGGCCGCCGCTGCTGTGACCACCCCTGTGACCCCTGCAGGCCACGGCCACCCAGAGGCCAACTCCAATGAGAAGCATCCACCCCAGCAGGAATCTCAGCCTGCTGAACAGGTGAGTGGCCGAGCGCCCCATGGCTGTCCCAGCGAGAGCGGCGGCTTAGCATGGGAAAGCCCTCTTCCTGCCCAGCGGAGCCTGTTTCAGGGCCCCTGCCTTTTCTTAAGAGGGAAGGAAGAAGGAACGAAGACTGACTAGTGGACTGTTCAGTGCTAGGGTTCTGGTGTTCATTTTTCTATTTAATCCTGAGCTCCGGCAGGATGAAGTGAATCTCCAGAATGCCCCAAAGTGACAGAGGTGGAAGTCAAGTCCAGATCTGATCTTGAAAACCTGTGTTCATTCAATTGTTTATTCCTACCCCTTAAGCCGATCCATTTTGGCACGGCACACCCAGTGTAACCCCAGAGCAACCATTCCTCATCCTAATGTTACAAGAGATTTCAGGAATCATTTAGTAGCTATCTCTTTGAATTCACATAAAGCCCAGAGAGAGGCAGGGACTTGGCCAAGGTCACCGAGGGAGTCATTGGCAGAATTAGGAATGTGTGGGCAGGACTCTGGACTCCCTTCCCTGCATTAGATAAATCCATAAACCCCAAGCCTTATGCTAGACCCAGCAAGAGCAGAGAAGGTATAGATAAGCTCTGATAACTCACTGTCCTGGAAGACAGGACCCCTCTGGCCTCTGGGTCAGCTTGGTTTTATGGAATGCTCCATCGGATGGCCTCCTGGTAAGAAGTGGACCCTTCACATAAGCTGGACCTCCTGTACATGGAAGTTCTAGCTCCCCTATACATGCCACCCATAGACCTTGGAGGGCAGGCCAGCATCTCCATCAGGGGTCCATCTCTACCCTAGCTGCTTTCTTATTGCTTCTCTGAAAGGCCATCGTTTCAAGCTTACTGACCAAACTCTTCCCACAGTCGAATCCACAGAGCCTAGACATGGAGGAGAAGGACTATGGTGAGGCCGATGGCCTGTCTGAGAGGACCACACCCAGCAAGGCCCAGAAATCGCCCCAGAAGATTGCCAAGAAATACAAGAGTGCCACCTGCCGGGTCACTCTGCTCGATGCCTCTGAATACGAGTGTGAGGTGGAGGTAGGACGCGTGCAGCATGTGACTGGCCGACCGCCACGGGGCCAGGGCAGGCTTCTGTGTGCATTCAGCCTGGCCAAGCCCAAAGGCCAGCCATTCTTCATGAAGCCCTGGACTGACTGCAAGATTCCCGTAGAGATGACCTGGCTGGGCCTCCTTTGTACAGATGGCCATGCTGAGTACCAGAGAGGGCTGTTGTAATTATAAATACAATGAGATGAGGCAAGGGGCTGGGGCCCAGGAAAGAGTTTGCAGGGTAACCATGTCTTGGCAAGGATGCTGCCATCCAATCCTTCTCTGCTACCCAGTTCACAAGCTCAGGCCTAAGAACTTTTCTCTCTCACCCAGTAGACTGCTGTTTAAACTCGAACTTAAACTTATTGAGTGTAAAGAGGAGTCCTCCTTTTCTTAGGAACCCCATGAGTCATCTGGCCACCCCTCTTGTCTCTAGACCAGAAGAATCACAGAGGATTCTGTGATCAACATGCTAGCCAGACAGAGGAGGCAGCCCAGTAGGAGGAAGCCCTCACCCAGGCTGTGTAGAAGCCCCAGTGGCCTGTCCCTGTCCCATGATGGGTGCCAGGGAAGGTGGCCCCACATTTAGTGTCCTCCTTTCCTGTAGACTCAGACTGGCACCCTCATTTGGAGCCCTCTCACCCCTTTGGAAGGCCTTATTCCCACAGGGAGTCTATCCCAGCCTGGCCCTTGCCCACATGAGTGGAAGGGTTCAGAGGTGGTCGCACCACTGAGATTACCTTCTTTTCTCTTTCATGTTCTGTTGTGATATGTCTTCCTTCTGAGCCTGGGCTGGTTAGGTTCCTCCTCTTCTCTGCTGGTTTTTTTTATAGTTGGTTGGTTGGACTTTTTTTTATTTATTTTTTTTTTGTTTTCTTCTGTAAAAGTGTTCTCCAATGGATACCTTCCTGACTGTACTCCTGGCACAAAAGAAAGAAATGCCTTCTTAACTTTCCCTACCTACCCACACCAACCCCAAGATTTGGCATCAGCCTGGCCTGACTGAGGTCAGCTCCACTCTCTTCAGTGGACTCTTCCAGGCTCAGGAATTCCTTGGCCTCTGGAAGACACTCTCCAGTCAGGCTGGTCCCAGGCCCTGGTGACCTCCCAGACCTCATAAGAGCCTCACTCTCTGGAGCCCCCGTCTCTCTAGGTAGTGACTCCCTCACATTCCCCGCTGCCAGTGATTCCTTTACTGGTGCTCATCTTTACCCCTGTGGGTTTGCAGTTCCCTGAAAGCTTCCGGGTTTATCATCTTGAGTCCTCAGGACTAGATGATGGTTTGAGAGGGCCAAAGCCTGGTGAGAGGTGGAGTTGGTGACTTTCTAATAGCAGTACCATAACACCCATCCTGTTAAGGTTGATTTTGACCCCCTGTACCAATTTAAAAGCCCCACTCCCTGCGCAGATCAGGGGTGGCACTCCAGGCTGGGCTGCCCTCCTTCCACTCAGACTTGAGTGCAAGGGACCGATGGAGAAAGCAGAGTCGTGCTTTGGCTCTGAGTCTCAGTTCTCCCCCTTCTCCCCTCTGCCCACTCTTGTCATATTTAAGGGTGGTGGTGGTAGTGTATTTTCTTCCTCTTACACCCACAGCTTAGGACTTTGATTTTCTGCTCCTTGAATCTCTTTGTCTCCTTGGTGGACTTTTTGGGTAAACATTAGATGGCTAACCACAAGATCGGTAGTTCAAACCCACCAGCTGCTCTTCAGGAGAAAGATGAGGCTATCTGTTCCTTTAAAGATATACGGCCTTGGAAACTCTACAGGCTCATTATGAGTTGAAGTACACTCATTGGCAGTGAGTTTGGCTTTCGGGGGGTTCATGAGGCTTAAGTTAGCCTCCTTTAATGGCTAGTATGGAAGAAGAATCAATCACTCCCCCCACCCCCATCCCAGCTTTCTCTCCACCAAGACCAAGGTCTGGAGGGATCCCAGCAGAGCGAGGAAGAATATGGTTGATGAGTGTCACCTCCCCTGCGCCCTCCCCCCGGGACCCCGGGACCCCGGGACCCTGGAGAGCAGAGCTGGGAGCACATGCCGACTGATGTGATCAGGTCATCTCTAGACCTGGACAGGGTTTTCTTGAGTTATCCTGGTGGAGCCGAGAGTCTCTCCCTGCTCCCCCCTAAGGTGTGTTCCAACCTCACAGCAGTTCTTCTATCCGCTTCAGAAACATGGCCGGGGTCAGGTGCTGTTTGACCTGGTGTGTGAGCACCTCAACCTCCTGGAGAAGGACTACTTTGGCCTAACCTTCTGTGATGCTGACAGCCAGAAGGTATGTGGGCTAGAGAGTAAGGCTGGGCAGGGAGGGCCTGCCTACAGCAGGTAGACTTCCTTCTGTTGATCCCATGGTCTTGGCTCCCATCTGCCCTCAGATCTTCATTAGGCACCTACTATGTGCATGGCCTCCAGGGTCAGCCAGCTCTACCCATCTTCCAGTTCTCCGCCTCCCTCCATAGTCTACTACTTATGGCCGTGTGGTGACCAGAAGTCAACCTGGGTTGACCACACTTTGGAGAACTGTGGCCTGGCTGCCTGCGAGACTTGGAACGGGGGAACTTCTACTCCAGGTGTCTCTTCCCCACATTTGGGAAGCGCTTGCCTGAGTTTTCCTCCTTCCCTCCTGTGTCAGTACAGCTGCGTGAGTTCTTTACCTTGGCTGCCCTAGGATGCCAGGTCCTAAATCCTTGATGGGCCCAGGTCTCATTCCCCTCAGCCTCAAGGAAACGGCCCAGAAAGCTCAGCCAGGAAGGGGTACTCCCCACTAGGAACTGACGAGAGAGGCCCTTTCTGGCTGTGTCTTCTATCCTTCCCTCTAAAGAACTTTGTCTTCTCTTTCAGAACTGGCTGGATCCCTCCAAGGAGATCAAGAAGCAGATCCGGAGTGAGTGGCTGGTGGTGGTGGGCGATGTGGTGTAAGGAGCTGGGCTCCAGACCTGGGAGGGCCCTAGCTGTGATGCCTCCTTCTGCTTGGGGAAGTCCGTGCAGATCTAGGAGTTCATTGGCTCCGCATTTCAAATCTGGAGGAAGGGAGGTCAGGAATGACTGATTATCATTCTTTGATAGATAAAGGCCAATAAAAGACCAATGACTGTTCACAGTCACATTTGACAAGCTAGCAGGAAAATCATAGCATAGTTCCTCGAAGGAACCTGCAGAGGTATCTAGAATCAGGGGGGCAAGCAGGTGGCCTGAACATGGTTTCTTGTCCAGGAACTGGTGCATACATCACTATTCACTGACCTTTGACTCAGCCCCAGACTTCTTACCCGCACAGCCCTCTAGGCCACTGCCAACTAACAGGCATTCAAATGTCCGGGGAAGCTGTGCCCATCCCCAACCTTGCCCAACTCTTGTCTTTAGAGAATGGGGTGACTGAGAGTGGCATTGGCCCCCTGTTACAGAGTGAACTATTGGCCACGCTAGGTCAGGAGCTCAGTGCTCTCTCTGCCCCCTCCACCCCCCACCCCCCATGATCTTTTTAAGACCTGGGGTGAAGGTAGATAAGCAGGTCAACAGCCTGTCTTTTCTGGCCCAGGGAGAGAAAGCACATTGAGAGGGATGGGGCCGGATTCGCATGGCAGAAGGTAGAGGTAGGTGGCCTCCGGAAGGGAGTGGGGAGGAGGTGGAGAGCTAGAGGCAGAATCACCTCCACTGTGAGCCTTCCCCTGGCTGTGGTTGCTCTACCCTAGACTCCCTGGTCCTCTGGCTGGAAAGCTGTAGTGGAGCCTGTTGCCATGACAGCAGGCAGCTGGGCCCAGGGATGCCAGCTGACTCTGTTGGAGGGGGCTTGAGGAATTCTCCCTTGTAGGTTGCTATCAATTGGAGACAAAGAGACAGGCGCCCAGACAGAGTGTGCTCCTGTGGGGTTGACAGGGTCCTAGGTCTAGGCTCCAGGCTATCCTCCAGAAGCCCCAGGCCAGGTGGGAGGTCTGCCTATCATGCCTGAAAGAATTGGAGCTCATACAGGCAGCCGAGTGTGCAGGATTTGATAAGGGCCAGGGCTTGGAAAAAGAGAAAGCAGCTGGACAGGATCCTAGGGCCCCATCAAGCTCCCCAGGGCAGCAAGGCTGCCCTTCTAGCTTCTCCGCCCCTGTCAGCACGCCTCAGACGTTGTGCACGCGTCCTCGTCATGGGCCACCTCAAGCCATGGAAGAATAACCCTGATTTTCAGCCAGGGCCTCCCTTCGTAGAATGAGCACCTCGACCATCCCCTTCTCACTTCGACTCACCCAGTCTGGTTCTGCTTTCTGGGTTTGAAAAACTTCCTTTTCTTTATGATGCCCCTCAGTCTTTTGAAGGGAGCCCTGTGAGTCTTTGTGTCCCGGGTTTCAGATTTGGATAGGATGCTGTTGTGAGGTGCTATCGGATTCTGACTCGCAGCAATCCTGGGTACAACACAGCGAAGCACCGCCCGGTCCTGCGCCAGCCTCCCCATGGTCCTTGTGCTCGAGCCCATTGTTGCAGCCGCTGTGTCTGTCCATCTGGTCAAAGGCCTGCCTCTTTTTCGCTGTCCCTCCACTTTACCAAGCATGATGTCCTTTTCCAGGGGCAAGTCTTTCCACCATTCTTGATGGGCATTCTGGATAGAGGAGATAAAGGATTAAGGATATTTGGATATACTTACCCCTAAACTTCCATACCCATCCCCTTAGGGAACCTGGGCAAGGCTTTTACTTCTTTTGGCCCCTGCTTCTTATCGACAGATGGGTAACAGCCCATGGGGGTCTGTGAGCAGCCCCTGACACACAGTGGGGGTTTTCTCCTCTTTGCTGCCCCACTCCAGTGCACTCTAGTGAGGCAGTTAGAAGAAGGATGGGCTCTGAGACCTGGGTGCCTGGATTAGATTCAAATTCTGGCTCTACCACCACTTGTGCTATATCTCGGTGTCTCTCTCAGTATAATGGGAGTAATGATCATTCTTATTTGTAGGATTGTTGTGAGAATGAAACAAGTTATTATGTGTCAGATACTTCAAACAGGGCCTGCTGCCAACAACGCTTTGTTTGTACGGAAGAGGCCGGGGCTGTTGCCCTTGAGGCTGCTTTTGCCCTTGGTGTTGGTTGTGGTCCCAGGCCTGGTCTCTGAGGTCCAAGGGGAGGCAAGGCTTGGCTCCTCAGCCTCTCCCACTGTTGAAGCTCAGTACCCTGGGAACGTGATTAACCTCTCAGAACCCCTGTCTGTAAAAAGGAATGTCTGCTTCAGGATGATTGTGAACATTAAATTCCCGTCACGGCGTGTAAAATTCTTAGCAAAGGGATCAGCACTTAGGAAATACTTTGGCCGGGCTGCAGGGTCGCTGTGAGTCAGAATGGACTGGATGGCAGGGGCTGTGTGTGTGTTTTGGACATGTTACCAGGAGGAGGGACCAGTCCCTGGAGAAGGGCACTGGGCTTGGGAAAGTAGAGGGTCAGTGAGAAAGAGGAAGGCCCTCAGTGAGATGGGCTGACCCAGCGGCTGCGAGGATAGGCTTAAATATAGCAACGATTGTGAGGGGGACCGTGTTTCCTTCTGTTGTACACGGATCACCACGACTAGCGCTCACTCTGCGGCACCTGGCAACCGCTTAGGGTGAAGGTGGACATGCCTACCGGGACAAACACGTGGAGACCACACGGCTTCCAGGCCCTTTATGACCAATCAAGCCCTAGATTTGGCCTCCCTTTGTTGGGGCCCGTTCTAGGGGAGTCTTAGTGGCCTAGTGGGTTACACGTTGGGTTGCTAAACATGTGGCCAGCAGTTCAAAACCAGCATATGCTCTGCGGGGAAAAGATGAGGCTGCCTGCTCCCGTGAGTTTTTGCAGTCTCAGAAACCCATAGGGAGAGGCAGTTGTATTCTGTCCTCTCGGGTGGCTGTGAGTCAGAACTGGCAGTTGGTTTTGTCAGGGGCCTTTTTATGGCGCCCCAAATGTCCCAGGGCTCTAGCAGCAGTCAACTCGATCAGGGACTGCCCTTGCCTTGGATCGTGTCCAAGGTTCATGCCCTCTCCTCCTTCCATCTCTAGCTCCCTTTCTCCTCTCCTCTCCCTTATCCTTCCCTCTTTCCCCCTTTCCTCTCCCCTCCTCTGCGTGGCCTTCCTCCCTCCCTCCTCTCCTCTTCCCTTTCTCCCCCACCTCTCTCCCACTCTTAAGCAGCCCTGCCCTCCTTGTGGCTCCCAGAGCTTGTGTCCAGCCAACACTTTAGCTTTTATCCTTATCTAAACTTTCATATAAAGGCGCCATTGATTTTTCGCATCCAAACGCAGAGATGAGCATTTATTGATGTTAAGTGTCCCTTTGTTACTTTTGGCCCATCCGTTTTTGCCATTTAGGTCTCTTTTCTAATCCCATTCTGCCATCTGACGTGGAGTTGACCTCATGTAAACGGGGTTTGTCGAAGTTGTTCTGAGGGAGGTCTTCTGTGGAAGGGGATGCAACGGGTCAGGGGCTTTTGGAAACTGGGGATGGGGTTCCTTAAAGAGTTCCAGTGGGGGCTCTAAAAAGGTCAAAGCCCACCCAAGGTGGCACTGTCTTCTTGTCCCCGCAATCCCGCTATGGCTCAGACGTGTGTGTGTGTGTGTGTGTGTGTGTGTGTGTGTGTGTGTGTGCGCGTGTAGGAAGGAACGGGGTCTCTAGAGCCACAGCTGAGTGACACGGGGTTGGCTATGTCACTATTGGGTCCTTGGTGCCCTCATCGGCAACACAGATAATCATAGGACTCACCCCAACCCGGTTTAGGGAAAGATGTTGGCAGAGCATCAGTGTACCTCTCAGTTCACTGGCATTCCCTTTCACTGCTAGCTCACAGGCTCAACCTGGGCCTCCATCCCCTTATCTCTTCAGTAGAGATAAGAGTCTACCCTTCCCTTCTTGGTGAATTATTCCGAGATTCTATATCTTGTTCTATAGTCTATATCCTACTAGTTTCAAATAGTAGACTTCGAAAAAGCGTCCTGAGGATAGTGTGTCCAGGCCCCACCCCTTGGGGTCCTTGGGACCTCTCTGATCTCTCCCTCATCTTCCTCACAGGCAGCGCCTGGAATTTTGCCTTCACTGTCAAGTTCTACCCCCCTGACCCTGCCCAGCTGACAGAAGATATCACCAGGTGAGGGCCAGGGCGGGGGTGGGGGGTGGGGGGCGGCGTTCATATTGCTGGGGGTCATATGGATGAAGACCCAAGGCCTGGAGAGACTGGGGCTTGTGTATGACGACGGCATCAAACTCAGAGGCTGACGGAGATCAGACCAGGCAGCATCGACACAGCATGCAAGCAAGGCCAACAGCGGTCGGTGGCAGCTGACCCTCGACCTCCAAGAAGAACACACCACAGCAAGCAGATCCCCATCTTGAACAGCTGCTGTTCAGCTCTGGCCCTGCCTGCCAGGAGAGACTCGGGAGCCATCCCTGAAGAGGAGCAAGAAACTTGGGAGGGAACGGCATCAATTTTAAATGTCAGCCACGAATTCAGACTTTCAAAGGACACCTCGAGGGCCGTTTCTGAGGAGGCTAAGCTGAACCCGCTGGAGGCTGATGCACTGAGTGACCACCAGTTTGCAGCTCCGCACACAGAGGGTGGTGCATGCCACCCTGCACACACGTCAGGCAGGGCAGGCACGTGGTGAGACTTGTGACCCCTGGGGCGGCGTGAGCATGTGTGTAGTCCCATCATGCTTCGGTGCCACCAAGATCGGAAACAGAGTAACTGCCAAGATACTAGAGTCCAGGGCAGTCTAAGTTCCCAAACTTGCTTGGCCAATCGGCCCCTTTTCAGAAAACAAAAACCAATTGCTCAGCTATTAAAATATTTTAATAGCCCCTGGCTATTAAACATGTTTATGCTACAGCTCCTGCTTTTGCGGCCCCCTCCCTCCTCAGTGGTCCCGTCTGGGCTTGCTCCGCACCCCACAGGCAGTGTGCCCACTGTGGGGAACCCTGAGGGCCTTCTCAGCAAGCCTCTTCCGAAGAGGTCATCTCACTTCGTGATAGCTGAGGAGGCTGTGCTGTCCGGGTGGTGGGCCCTCCAGCCATCGTCTGGGGTGGTTTCTGCACAGGGGTGGGGCTGCTATACCAGCCTCCAGCTCCCAGGGGCCCTCCTGACTGTCAGGTGCCTGCTGGCCAGGCAACAGGCCAAGGTTAAGATGCCTTGGGCGATAAGACAGCCATCTCAGGGATAGAGTAGGCCTGCTGTGAGTCAGAACAGACTCCGCAGCAACTGTTTGTTTTTTTTGTTTTTTTAGTTCTTCTAAGCCCTACGGTCATTAGCAAGGAGCCTTGGTGGTACTGTGAGCTGTGCATTGGACTGCCCACACCTCTAACCACAAGGTTCGCCCGTTCGAACCCATTAGCTGTTCAGTGGGAGAAAGACAAGGCTTTCTGGTCCTGTAAAGATTTACAGCATTGGAAACCTACAGAGGCTGTTCTCCTTTGCCCTAAAAGGTAGCTGTAAGTCAGAACGGACACAAGTTCAAGGTCACTGGCTTGGGACTGAGGCGGTCCCAGCAAGTTCTGCATCCCCTCTCGAGGTATGAGAGCTTTCGCCCTGCATAACCCTTTCCTTCGAGCTCTGGGCAGCTGTACCAGCAGCTCTGACCTTGGCCACTGGGGCCTCTCTTTTGTGCCAGTTCCTGGACACCAGGCTTTCAGGGACACCAGGAGGGATGTTAGCCCTGCCCAGCATGCCAGGTCCTGGGGGAGGGTATAGGGGTAACAGCTGACTTCGTCAAAAATAGTTAGGGCAAAAATAAATTGGTCCAAATGACAAATTGACTGAAATGAAAGATTGGTCAGCTGCTTGACAGTGATTTCTGAGGTTTTAGACTTGTGGGCAAAGTGCCCGCAAGCCCACACGTTGGTGCCTGTGGTATTTAAGCTGCTGCTGAGATCCTGAGCCATGCCTCAGCCCCGCACACACACTGAGGCTGCGCATGCTTTCCGCCGGGAGCGCCCTGTCAGGGAGCTCGCAAAATGATGCAGAATCACAGCCACTTAAAAAGGACAAGAAAGAAAAAAAAAAAAGGACAAGAAAGAAGCAGTTGGAAAAAATAAAAAAGTGGTGAAAACAGCAAAAACGGGCAAGGAGGCTAAACTGGCTGGAACTGAACGGAAACATTTTTTTAATGCAAAATCACCCAAAAGGCCATAAAACCAGCTTCAAATGGCTCTAGAAATTGTAAAATCATCCAAGTGTGCATACAAGTGATAAAAAATCATGACCTGGTGGTTGGAAGTGTTTCTTTTAAGACAATTTGTTTTTTCAGCAATTCACTTACAAGCTAGAGGCAAAATAAAAATTAAAAAAAAAAATCTCAGGAATGCATTGGCAAGTCGCTCCCCTGGGCTGTGGAGGACAGAGAAGACAGAAAGGAATGAGCTCCTGCCCTGTGCTGGCATGGCATGGCAGCCAGGCTTAGAGTGGGTGTGGCACAGCCAGCTGTGGAGTTAGATGGAGCGGTGGATACCATTTGTTTGTTAAAAATCACCCTTAAATAGAAACTGTGACATCTCTCTATGTCTATAGAAGAAAGCTCTAGAAAACCATTCCTGTAAGAGTGGTGACCGACTAAGGAAGGGATTAGGAATTTCCAAAAGGAAATGTAGAGTCATCGCTAAAGTTGACACTTTTTCTTTTCTTTCTACAATCAAGCTATCTTAATTGTGTAAGTTAACACATATGAACTTCTTTAAAACTGGCCAAACCAGCAAGGTAGTTGTATGTGGCTAAATATCAGTTATGAGAAGTTCAGAGTGCTCCCCAAATAGGGGGGGGAAAAATCACACTCAAGCCAAAAAACTAAACACAGTTACCTGGAGTATTACAGAACCATCTCACAAGACACCCCCGGATGATACGACGCGCAGTGCCTCTCAGGAGGAGCCCTCTTTTCTATTAAGCGGTGCGTCGACCAGTTTGGTTCTGGTGGGTGATGGGCAGCCATACTTGGGGGATCCAGGGAGGGCGTGGGGCCCCGTCCCATGCCCATTCTCCCCTATCTCCAGATACTACCTGTGCCTGCAGCTGCGGGCAGACATCATCACAGGCCGGCTACCCTGCTCCTTTGTCACACATGCACTGCTGGGCTCCTACGCTGTGCAGGCAGAGCTGGGCGACTATGACGCCGAGGAACATGTGGGCAACTACGTCAGCGAACTCCGCTTCGCCCCCAACCAGACCCGGGAACTGGAAGAGAGGATCATGGAGCTGCACAAGACATACAGGTGAGAGGGCCTCAGCCTCCCAGCACCCGACCCGGCTCCCCAGCTGGTTAGTCCTAGAATCTTCCTCGCTGTCTAGAAGGTGACCCCGAGATGCTGTGCCGTAGGACCCTCACATAGCTTTGCCCTTAACTTCCTACGCAAGTGTCTGAGAGCAGATGTCTGGATCTTGCTGTCACATAGCAATTCTTTGGTTCGATCTTTGGTATTTCTTATTTCAAACACCTCTTACTCCAAGCATACGTCACCTGTGGTGCAGGCTTACCTCCATCAGGACTGGAGAAAATAGGCACAAAGGATCTGAGACCCTTCATTGCCTCCATGCTGGTATTTATAATTGCACACACTGAAGTGTGGTGGCTATCTTCAGAGAGTTGGTCTTAAGTCAATCCGGGAAATGCCCTCCCGCTCCTCACTTGGCACCACCAGGCGTTTCTCTTGGACCATCTGCACTAGGATGGCAGCTTTGCTTGTTTCTTGGTGAACAGGAAACTCACTCAGCTTTTCTACGGAACCTGGCAACATCACGAGATCCCCTCCTCTTCCTTTCAGCAATCAGCCAAGTCTCTATGGAATAGGAATGGAGGGCCCCGCAGTGTGACCTTCATTGGCTCCCTTGGGCCTCACTTTCTTTGGCTCCACCCTGGGTATGACCGTTTCCTGTTCTGAGCCTCTCAGGGTCTGCTTTCTTAATTTGCCAGCTGTGCATCATCACCGTTGTGTGTCTGTGGGGAAATGTCCCGAGGCCGCCATCTTGGCATCAGATTCAAGAGTTTGGCTTTGAAACCAGACTGCCCAGATTCAAAGTCTGCCTCTGTCCCTTTCTGGCCAGGGGAGCTTGAGCAGGTCGCTTCCCTTCCCTAGGCTTTAAGCCCTGTTGACACAGTGGCTAAGCATTTGACGGCTAAGCAAAGCCATGCAGTGGCTCCACGGGGGAAAGCTGTGGCCGTCTGCTTCTGTAAAGACTACTAGCTTTGGACATTTTAGAGGGCAGGTCACTCTGTCCCGTATAGTCACCAGGATTTGTAATCAAGGCGCAGTAGCAAGAGGGATGCTTTATAGCATGAGCCTTAAGGAAGCAACCTCAACCTCATAGGCTTGTCAGGAGGGTGACCAGGCACATCATGCTAGCGATGAAGGTGACACTCTGTGAGTTGAGAGCTTGGGTAGTTGACTGGGTAGTGCACAGAACCTTGTTTATTATTATTATTATTAATCACCTTATTGAGGGGCTCTTATAAATTGTAGGACAGTCCATCATTCAGTTGTCTTGAGCACGCTTGTACATAGGTTACCATCAACATCTCCAAAACATTTTCTTTCTACTTGAGCCCCTTAGTATCCGCTCCTCTCCCCTACCCCCAACCCAGAACCTTCCTTCAGGAGTTGAGAAAATTGACTAGCTGTGTCATGGCGGGCTGCTCGCTTAACCTACCTGGACAGCATTTTCACCTGTACATGTATGGCCTTAGAATTTCAGTGCTTTTGAACTCTTGGTACGTGGGACAAGTTCTTCATTATCCAGGATGTTAGCATCCCTGGGTCCCAGTCATTAGATGCTCATAACACCCTCCCCAGCGTTGTTATCTTGAAAATGCCACCCCTGCACACACATTTCCAAGTGCCCACTGTGAAGGTGATACCACCCTTCAAGGGGAATCTCTGAGGTGACATCATCTCTCGGGTCCTTCAAAGCTGGAAGTGCTTTGGGCGCCAAGTCCAGGGTTGTCGTGGGAATTCCACGTGTGAAATGCTGTGAAAGTGCATTCTGAGCTGTTAAGTGTCGGGCAAGTGGGACAGAGTATGGTGCTTCATCTGTCACTGCGAAGGAAGGTAAAGCCAATGAAGAGGGCTTTCGGGAGAGGGGGAGCATGGCCGGGGCCGAATGAGGCTGATGAATCCTGTCTGGGGGGCAGAAAAGCTCCAGGTGACAAGGGACTTGCATGATTGGTTTGCAGCAGCTCCCATAGGGTTGAGTTAAGTAGGACACTGACACTGTCTAGCAATGTCCCCCGGGGCCTAGAAATAAAAAGTGGTGGCCTTGCCTGCCATCTGTTTGTCATCCCTGTCCTAGATGACAAGGTGGGCTAGGGGCATCATCATTCAGAAAGAAGTTTCAGGAAAAATGCTAGTGACCACCCCCTTCATTTGTGTGACTGCTGTGACATACCACACCTTGGCATCTTGGGGCTAGGTGTCCTGCACAACAGCTTGATGAGCTCAACAGGGAAACTGAGGCCCAGAGAATCGGAGGCAGGTGCCATGAAATGATCAAGGCACAGACTTCGGAACCACCGGGTCTGGATTCAAATTCTGGCTTTTCGTAGCAGTGCTCCAGTGAGCAAGTTATTCACCCTCGCTGTGCCAGAGTGATTTTAAATCTAGAAAATGGGAGTGCGCCCTCACTTACCTCACAGAGGGGTGATGAGGTCTCAGGGTGCATACATGTCAAGTGCTTAAAGTGCTCAATCCACATTGGCCGTGACTCTGTCAAACTTGCTCCCAAGTTCCGTCGCAGGCGAGGCAAAGAAAGGACTTGGTTTGTTACATGCAATTTCTTCCTTTTAGAAAGGAGAACATGACTCCGTTCCTCAGTGAGATGAAGTGGGTTCTAATCCTAACTTCTGAGAGGAGAGATGCTATCCAAGGGCTGAGGTAGCAGCGGCTGGGTGATTATAAGGATTCATGGCTTCAGCAATGGTTTCGCCGTTCTGGAGAAGCAGAATGTATGGCTCACCCATACCTCAGAGGCAGAATGAGGCAAGAATCCAGAGTCCCAGCTTGGCCTGGAATGCTTTTTTGAGCAAGCTTGAGCCTAAGATGTAGCAGAAGACAGGGAATTTGGCAGAAGACGTGTACTGAAGGGGGATTGGAGGTGCACTATCCTGCACTAAGGACAGAGGGGAGGAGCGGAGGATGCCCAACCATATACCTGCTCCAAAATATTTCAGAACATTTACCTCCCTAGAATCACAGCTTCTAAGTGTGATTAGAAGCACCCTCGGCAGGCAGCAGGCCTGGGCCTCTCCCTTATCCCCAACTAATTTGTGATTAATTTTTCTTTCCCTCAGGGGTATGACCCCAGGAGAAGCTGAAATTCACTTCCTAGAGAACGCCAAGAAGCTTTCCATGTACGGGGTAGACCTGCACCATGCCAAGGTACTGCTGGCGGCTGGGCTTGGAGCTGGTACGGGTGCTTGAGGCTTTCAGGGTTCCCCTGGCATCTGGGTGGTGCCCCTGATGCACTCCCAGATCTTTTTAGAGGACTTCTTGTGCCAGACCCTGTGTGCGCTCCAGCCTGCACCCTCTCTGTTCTCACTTCTCATTCCTAGAAAGAGGATTCCAGAATTCCTTACTGTCCCAGGATTTTTTAAAAATCATTTTCCCTTGCATTATATTTATTTATAAACCTGCACATGCTGTCACTAGATTGGGAGTAACATGAGGAGAAGACATAGTCATAACATTCCTGTGTCCTTAATGCCCAGCAAATGGCCTGGTGCCACTCATTGTTTGTTGGGTGAATGTATGAATGAATGAGTGATCGACAAAGTAAATGGTGGAACAAGTGAGTGTAGGAGTTTATAACGCAATGAATGAGGGAGTGAATAGGTGAGAGATGGGTCCGTGGGACTCTATCAAGGGGGTTCAAACACTACTCCTGAGGGCTCATTGCCAACAGAGCTCAGGGAGGAACTTTGGGGATGAGTGGCAGGTATGCTCCCAGGCTTGGACCGTAGCCCCTCCATTCCACAGTCCTTTCCTTGCAGGATTCCGAGGGCATTGACATCATGTTAGGTGTCTGTGCCAACGGTCTGCTCATCTACCGAGACCGGCTGAGAATCAACCGTTTTGCCTGGCCCAAGATCCTCAAGATCTCTTACAAGAGGAGTAACTTCTATATCAAGATCCGGCCCGGGGAGGTGAGCCTGACTTGGAGACCCAGTCTCCTCTCCGGAACTGGCGAGAACAGAGTGGCCCGGGTCTTCTACTCCGGATAGATGGAGAGAGGGGGCTTGTGTGCTGGGTAGGGAGACATCCCTCTTCTGGTGTGACTCTGCATAGACTTCACACCTTAGGTTTGTGCATAGGAGCATACACATGGACGTGCACACCCCACACACTCACAAGGACCTAAATAATAAAGATTAATACTACACCAATAAATGAGTCCGTATTCATATACATGTCTCTACATGTACATAGTTATGTACCATATATACTCGAGTATAAACCGAGTTTTCCAGCACATTTTTAATGCAGTTTTTGTAGTAAAATTAGGTGCCTTGGCTGATATTCTGGTCGGCTTATACTCAAGTATGCATGGTATTTTATTACCACACACACCTATAAATATATGTGTGTCCTCATCACTTTTCTTTCCCTGGCTACATCTCACCCATCAAGAATTCCATTAGTTCTGCCTTTAGAAAAAATGTGAACTTCCCTACTTCTCTCCCTTTCTACTATACACGCCAATAGCCACCATCTCTCACTTAGATTTCCATAACGTCCCTCCCTCGTCTCGCTACCACCACTGTTGCGCTAGGTCAGTTCCCTCGTAGCTGCCAAAGAGAACTTCAGCGCCCCTTCAATCAAATCCTGTCAGTGCACTCCCTTCACCACTTCTTGGCTAAATCTTTAAAGGATGGTCTTTGACCCTTGGGCTAAAATGCCTCCTATAGCCACCCCTCCTAGCTCTTCCACATATCACTTGCCTCTTTACCAGAGTGTCCCATGCCCATTATATTCCAGCCACTGCAGCCTCTTCAGACCCTTGACTAAAGCAAGCTCCTTCCCACCCAAGCCCTTTGCCATGGCTGTTCCTCTACCTGAAATTCTCTTTCTGTCTTCTCATATAGCTGGTTCCTTTTCCAGCCTTCGGATCTCTGCTCAAAGATCACTGTTTAGGGGGCTTTCCCCTGGCCATCCTTTCTGAAATAGCACCCTACCCCTGCACCTGCTCAGTTCCTCTGATGCAGCGAATGAGCATGCCCAGATCAGGCATGCCCAAGAAGAGATTCGGAAAGGATGGAGAGGGTTCGTCTGACCCTGACCCTGACCCTGACCCTTCTCCTTGGTTTTCCAGTATGAGCAGTTTGAGAGCACCATAGGCTTTAAGCTCCCAAACCACCGGTCAGCCAAGAGACTGTGGAAGGTCTGCATTGAGCACCACACATTCTTCCGGTAAGCCAAACCCGGGGTTGGCGCTGTGAAGGATGAGCCAGGGGTTGTGTGTACGTGCACATGCATGCCTCAGTGCTATGCTCGTGTGTTTTAGGTGGGAGGGAAGTAGGAAGAATCAGTGAGGACTGTAGGTCAGAAGTGGCAGCCAGGTACTCCTGCTGTCATCTAGGCCACTTTAAACTCTCCTAGTTAGTGGGACAACAGGATAACAAGTCTGTTCTGAGACCCAGCAACGCAGCTTGGCTCCCCTTCCTCACATCCATCTCTCTGATACAGGCTGGTGTCCCCTGAACCCCCCCCTAAGGGATTCCTGGTGATGGGCTCCAAGTTCCGGTACAGTGGGAGGACCCAGGCCCAGACCCGCCAGGCCAGTGCCCTCATCGACCGGCCCGCACCGTTCTTTGAGCGTTCCTCCAGCAAACGGTACACCATGTCTCGCAGCCTTGATGGAGGTATGCCCCGTATTGGAGGTGGGGCCAGGAGGGAAATGCTGAGAAGAGAGGGGGAGCCCCCACAGCAGGGTCTGCAGATGAGGAGCAGTGATGGTGGCAAAGGTCGATGCATCCCAAACATGGCAGCCAGAGAGCACTGTCACACCTGGGTAGCTCTTGTGGTTTAAGTTCCCCACCTGCAGCATCGCTCCCACCCAGGATATGTCCCTACCATTCTTTGGACCTCCCTGTCCCCAAGTATCGGCCCTTTGGGATCCCAAATTCCGCCATAGAGTCTCCTGGGTCTCCTTCTCGAGAAATGCAGCAATTCACAAAGGACCGCCACACCCGGAGGATGGGGCCTGGTGGCTGCAGTGGGGTTGGCAAGGCCTTCCCTGACTGGAAACTGAGGAGCCTTCTTCCTGGCCATTCTTCTCCACCCATTGGTTCCGGGCTGCAGGACCACATGAGCTTTCCATAGCCCAGTTCTGTTGGACGGATGGTGCCCTTAACATCAACTGGCCCTGCATTGTCCTGTACAACTCCCTGAAGATTCCTAGGGCAGAACCAAACGCTCAATAACCCGTTGCCATTGAGTCGACGGTTTTAACTCATTGACCCTCTGGGACTGAGAAAACTGCCCCTTGGGCTTTCCAAGACGGCCACCTCTTTTTCTCGTGGGTAGTTGGTGAGTTTGAACGGCAGACGTATAGGTAAGCAGCTGAGCACTTGAAGCACAGTGCCGCCAAGGCTCCTCAGCCTGACCTTAGACTTACTAGGTTGGCACTGCTCAGGACTCACCAGGGTGTGCAACTACAATCTGTAGGAAATTCAGAGGCCACACGGGGGCAGTGGAGAGATTCAGTTAGGCCCAGCTGAGCTCAAATCTTGGCCTGAACACTTGGCAGCTGCTCTGTGAATGGAGGAAACTGTCAGTAAATAGCCGCATGAATGGATAAGTGACCTTGAACAACTTAGTCAACGTCCATGAATCTGTTTCCTTATCTATAAAAGAAATAATGCCTACATTTCTGAGTTATAGGGAGAACTAAGTGAGCTAATAGCTATTCTCAAAATAGTTCCTGGCATATCATAGGCCCTCCATACATTGTACTTGTTATTATTGCTTTCAATATTGTAGAGGGTGGCTGAAAGGGTGGGGGTGGAGGCTTGGATCGCGGAACTGGTTGATACTCCCAAAGCACATCGGGGCAGACCTTTGGGCAAGCTAGTTTAACTGAGCACATGTGTATCGGACACTGTTCTAGGTGCTGGGTATCCAGAAGGTGATGGAGTGGTGTTTACTTGTTGGGCTGCCAACTACAAGGTCAGCACTTCGAACCCATCAGCCTCTCTGAAGGAGAAAGACGGCTTTCTACTCCTGTAAAGAGTTATAGTCTTGGAAACTCATAGGGACAATTCTCCCCTGCCCTATAGGGTCGCTATGAGTTGGCATTGACTCAGTGGCAGTGAGTGTGACCCCATAAAAAGGGATCACTTTGAGTGGTTGGCTTCTCTCCCTGTGGTCTTGCAACTTCCACCCAGTGACTGGGTGGGGCTATGTCAATGAGTGCCTGCCAGGGGGTTGGGTGGATCACTTTAACTCTCTTCCATAGACTCCATTCTGACTCAGGACGACCCTATAGGACAAGCCTGTAAATTCTTACGAGAGTAGAAAGCCTCAACTTTCTCCCACAGAATAACTGGTGACTTTGAACTGCTGACCTTGCAATTTAGCAGTCCAGCGCATCACCCGCTCTGCCACCAGGGCTCCTTGAGTAACTTGTTAAAAATGCAAATGATTTCATCAGGGGGAAGAAAATTCTGACCAACAGCCCATGACTGATCTTTATGAGGCAGGGGTCAGAGACAACTCCAACGTTTTAACCCAGTGGTTCTCAACCTTCCTTTGATACAGTTCATGTTGGGGTGACCCCCCCAACCATAAAGTTATTTTCATTGCTGCTTCATAACTCATTTTGCTACTGTTATGAATCGGGCGACCCCTGTGAAAGGGTCGTTTGACCCCCAAAGGGGTCATGTGCGACCCACAGGTTGAGAACCACTGTTTTAACCAATTCTTTCACCAACCATCCCTCTCCTAAAATTCTTTACTTCTCTGCTGGGTTTGATAATTTGTTGCATTGATCACCCAGAATACATAGGCCATACTCACAGGTATAGGGCTTATCAGGGAAATCATAAGTTATAATTCAGGATCAGCAAAGACTTAGGATGCAGTTCTTTGATTGGGACAGCTTCGGTAAATCTTTGCAGAAGCAGAGCGCCACATCTTTCTTCTGAGGGGCACTGACGGGTTCAAATTGCTGAACCCACAGTTTTGGTTAGTAGATGAGCCTTGTCCACAGACAGGCCTCTCCCTGACCCTCGGTCCCTCTGTCCTTTTTGGCTTATTGCCCTGGCCTCTGCTCTGTTCTTTAGTTCTGCCAATAAATGCTCACTCCGCCATTAATCCTTGACCTGAAGGTGCTCTGCTCTTGTTCTGTGGGTTGGCAAGCTTTTCTGTCACCAAGTACCCAGAGGTACCCACTCTACCAGCAAGCCTCCTGCCCACAAGTGCTCAGCTCTCTCATTCTGTGGGTGGGCACACCCACAGTAACCTCCTAGCCCCATGAGCCAGGAAGCCCACTGCCAGCCTCCCGTTACTGTTGCCGTTCTTTCTCTCCGGCTGCTGCTTACAATCAAATGCTCCATCTAGTGTTGTAGCTCTCTCTTGTCTCCTGGGCCTAGAAGGTGCCTCAGGGCAGGGACCTTGGATCCAAAGCATATGCTCCACTCCTGTGTCTTCTGACAGTAGTAGTCCTCCTGTTTCCTCCACTCCCAAGCCTAATGGGCTGGTAGCGCTGGCCAGTCTCCCGGTTCCACACCTTATTTGCATGGTCCCACACCTACAGAGATACCATGCGCTCTGTTTGCAGGATTAGCAAGCTATCCAATCCCCCTGGTGGGTGCTCTATCTGCATAGCCCCCCGCCAGGCTTGGGGGAGTGGGGGTTGGGGTTTAAAAGACTACAGTCCTAGAGGCCATGTAAAAGAGATCCATTGCACAGTGGACCCTTTCTCCTGAGGAAATGGCAGAATACTAGATTTCTAATAAGCACGTATTGTTTGTGGAGTAGGAGAAGCATGTGCAGAATTAAGTAGCCCTGGGTAGGGCGAAGTTAATTCTGTTTATGAGGGGGAAGAAAAGGCTTTGCAGAGAGAGAGAGAGATGACTTGATAGGGTTTTGAAGGATGCGTAGGAGTTTTCCAAATGATCAGAAGTTTCTTGTCTCAGGATTCCCTGACCATGGAGATCTCAAGGAAATGAAGTTTTGAAAGCACTCATTTGGGACTGAGGACGCTCTTGATTCTCCTAGTGGTGGGCGTAGGAATGAGAACTATGGTTTATTTGAGGGGAAGGAGGGCCTGAACCCTCCTCTGTCCCTCTCCTGTAGCTTCCATTGCCAAGCTGGGGGAAGCAGAGGTTGACCCCAAGCTGGGGGAGCTCCCCAGGGGGAGAGACAGAAGCTGAACTCTCCCCCAGGAGACCTGGTTCTCCTTCCTGACTCCTTGAGAGCTACTTCTGGGACTTCTCCCCTCTTGAGGTCTCAATTTACCTCCCATAAAATGGGGTTGGTAATTCCCATTTTTGTCATCAACAAAGCGATTAATATAACCCAGGGTGGTGTGAATCAAATACAGTGATAAATGGCCATTTTGCAAAGTAAATATGTTTAAATAAGAAGGATAATTGTTCTCTTTTTAAAAACCTAGACCCACCCCAGGGATAGTCTGTGCACTGGTCCTTTGAATCCTGGGCTTTCCAAACATTCCCCCCACCCCACCCCCACCCCGAGCCCTTCTTGTGGGCATGGTGTGGGTTATGCCCTGTGCCTGTGTGAAGTCTGTAGTTCCCTCCCACTCCAAGAGCCCTCTGGGTGCCACTGAGGGCGAGAGCTGTTATTGCAGGGGTCTCCTTTCACACTCTAATTGATAAGCCAGGTACCTCGTTTAGCTTTAGCTTTCATTAGCACAAGCCCATGTCCCAAAGGAGCCCTGGTGGTGTAGTGGTTACAAGGTCAGCAGTTCAAAACCACCAATTGCTCTTCAGTAGGAAGACGGGGCTTTTTACTCCCGTAAAGAGTTATGGTCTTGGAAACAAACCCACAGGGGTAGTTCCATCTGTCCTAGAGGGTCGCTGTGAGTGGGCACGGCCATGATCCACCACACGTGTATGGGCTACCACAACCACAGTGACACACGCAGCAGCGTCGTGGGCCAGCGATGACGGATGGCTCGCTGTGGGCCAGGCACCCTCTGACTACACACAGGGGCTCACTGGTTCCTCACCCCCAGGTGAGGGGGGTGGGACTATTTAGTGATGAAGGAGGGACTATTTAGGGATGAAGACACTGCGGTTCCACAGTGGCAAGGCCACAGAGGCAAGAAGAGATGGACTTGAGACTTGAACCTAGGCTCAAATGCTTTAGAAAGCCGGAGGGGACTTGAGGGGGTGGGGACGGGGTGGTCCTTATCCAGCAATGGATCTAGCTGGCGGGTGGGGTGGCTGAAGAGTCTGCGCCATCCTAGGCCTGGCTGGGGTGGGTGGCTGGGCTAGCTTCTTGCTGATGCTCCAAGAGGTCTCACAGGACCTTCTGGCCATCTTCAGCAGAGTTCTCCCGCCCAGCTTCGGTCAGTGAGAACCATGATACAGGTCCTGACAGTGACAAGAGGGAGGAGGATGGCGAGTCCGGTGGACAGAGGTCAGAGGCCGATGAAGGAGAGGTCAGGACCCCCACCAAGATCAAAGAGTTGAAGGTAGGAGCCTGGCTTTCTCTTACCCTCTCATCCCCTGGCGTGGAGGTCAGCAGGCTGATCTGGGTCTAACCTCGGCCTTAGCCTTGCTTTGGGGTCTAGCATGAACAGAGCTGGTCCCGCAGCCTCACTCAATACCTGGACATTCTAGGGTGGGCATGGGGGGAGGGTGGGAGTGGGAAGGCTGCCTACCTAGCCCAGTTCAATCCTCTTGGCACTGCTTTCCCCAGACGGGGACTCTGTCCCTGGACCCCTGGTGCCTCCACCTGCTCTCTTCTGATGTGCCCCTTTGACTGTGATCTGGCTCTGGATTCTTCCAGAGCATGATCTAGTCAGGTGTCCCTGCTCGTGTGTCCCCATCCTGCAGCCTCACTCCCCTCCCCAGGTACACACACACACACACACCCTGACTCCCAGTATACATGTATACACACTCAGGCAGCCACGAGCAACCTCAGATTCGCATGCACTCACTCATGGTGGCCATACTCCCTCACCCTTAGGTGTGTGCACGCAGACATACAAAACAGCATCTACGTGCACACATGCAGATGTGCGCACAGGCCACAGACCGTGTTGAGCAGTGCTTTTTCCATCATGTAGCTGCGTGCCCCTGGAAAGATTTCCAGCCTCGGAAACCCCGTGGAGCAGTGCCCCCTGCCCCATCGGGTCTCTGTGAGTCGGAGACAGTGGGTCGTCCCATCTTGTGAGCACAGGCTTGTGGCCACACTCACGCGGAGAGCAGGAAACGAGGACTGGACGCTCACTGCCCATCTCCCCTCCAGTTTCTCAGCCCCCTCCTTTGCCTCCCTGGAGCCAGCTCCCTGCTGCTTGCCCTGGACCATCTTCTGACTCCCTCCCTGCCCTACGGGTGGTCCCACCAGCCTCTCTGACTTGTACTGGTTGGGTGCTAGGGCTCTGGGCTCCCTTGCTGGACCAGGCCAGTCGCGGGCTCTCTAATCCATTTGTTCTACTGACCCTGCCGGTTCCTTTCCCCCCTACCACACCCCGCTAGCCGGAGCAGGAAACCACGCCGAGACACAAGCAGGAGGTACTGCATGGAGCCTGCCCCTACCTACCCAGCCATCAAAATTCCTGGCTCATCAGTCTCCGTGCGACACGTCATCTCCCCCGCACCATCTCACACCCATTGTCAGCTTCATCTTACTCTTCCCACCTTCCCACTCCTACCCCGCTTGTCAAGCTCATCCCTCCTCCTCCCTGCTCATTCCCAACCATCCAACCAGGCTGCTCTCCCTCCTTCCCTCCTCACCCCTACCGTCCTCTACCAAGTGTCACACTCTGTCTGTCCAGACCACCTGGTACACCATGCTTGCTTCTCACCTGCTGACTGCCCTCTCTATGTCCACCAGCTCTGCCCTGCCATTCCGTGCTTCCGTGTTCTCGTTGCCCCATACCCCTACCCTACAGTGTCTGCTCCCACCTTTCCTACTCCACAGTCCTGCCTGAGTACACCTCCATCTCATCAACATCCCTGTGTCCTCCTCCCCAGCTTCCTTTTGTGGGAGTGGGATTGAGATGGGGAGTTGGGGGTACCCTCTGAGCCCCTCTGTGTCTTCTCAGATCCCACTTCCGGGTAGGGCCTACTGCTGTTCCAGCTTCCGTTCTGACAAAGAAAGGCCTGTCTTCTTCCTCACCCCTTTGTTGCTTTCCTCCACTTCCTCCTCTGGTGTGAGCGGCCGGGCCTTGCCTTGCTCACAGCCATGACCTCTGCGGGTGGCGGTGAGAAAGGACCAGCGAGAAAGGGCCAGCGGCCAAGAGCCGGAGCCTGGGGGTCTTTTGATCTGGATTCCAACCTCAGTTCTGCCAGTCTCTGTGAGGGCCTTGGGCAAGTCACCACGGGTTCCAGGCCCCGTCTGCACAGCCAGGTTTCAGGCTAGATTGCCTCACGTCCCCTGAGTCCATCAGGTTGACCTTTCCCGACAGAGCTTGTCCTGAAGGCAGCTCAGCTCACCGCAGGAAGGCCTGCTGGCAGAAGCCACCGTGTGGCTGGTGTCCTTCCTGAGGTCACGTAGGGGTCACCCCTGGTAAACCCTTGGAGGATGGAGATGAGCCCAGTGGAAGATTCCAGCCTTGTCTGAGGGGCACGCATACCATCTAGAGCAGTGGTTCTCAACTTTCCTAATGCCGCGACCCTTTCATACAGTTCCTCATAATGTGGTGGTGATCCCCCAACCATAACATTATTGCCACTGCTACTTCATCACTGTCATTTTGCTACTGTTATGAATCGGGACAACACCTGTGAAAGGGTCGTTCAACCCCCAAAGGGGTCATGACCCACAGGTTGAGAACCACTGGTCTAATAAGCTGTCATCGTCTAGTTTCTGAGCCTGAACTGAATTGACATGGCTCTTCAAACAGCCTTGTAGTGATTGTCCCTAGGCTGCCCGGCCACCTGCTTCATCCCCAGAAATGGGCAGTAAAGCCGCTTTGGCATGTCCCTGCAGGTGCCTGCATGAAGACTGGCCCTGACATGACAGATACCTCGGCCTGCACCCTAGGCTGGAACTCAGACATGTGGTTTTGTCGGGGGTACACCTATGCTGCTGGCTTTACCTGACCCAGCTCTTGAGCCCTGTCTCGGGACTCACCACTCCTCTTGGTCTCCCATTTGCCGGGCCTCCTCCGGAACCCCAGGGTTTCCACACCTCACCCTCTGTGCTCCTGAGGGTTTGGAAGGTATCTGGGCCATCCTCGGTGGTCGGAGTCCATGGCGGCTCACAGCAGCCAGGCCCAAAGGGACTTCCTTCCTGGACTTTGCTCCTAGTGGGGGTGCAGGATCCATTTGTGTGGCTGTTCCTGGACCATTGGCAGGCCCCCACAGGGCCTGAGCAGTTGCATGCGTTGCACTAGGAGAGGAGACTGGCCATTTTGCTACGTACAGTGGCCCATGTCGAGGCCGGAAGGTAGGGTCATAGGTTCAAGAGGTCAGGATGTGAGCTAGAGCAGCCCTGTGAGCCGGGATGGGGCATCCTCATTTCAGTAGCTGCCACACTTGGGTGGTAATGGAGGCCAGTCAGCGGTTTGGAGGTGAAGTCCATGCCTGCCTGAGTCTGGGATCACAGCCCCAGAGGGCGTTCCCTGTGGGGTGTGGGCTGAGTTGGGTGTTCTGAGGTAAGGGAGTCAGGCTGGGGAGAAGAGAAGGTGACTGCTTGCTCAGAAGTCCCCTCTTTGGACTCCTGAGTCCCGTGGGCCTTAGTCTGTGTGCCGGCTGTTGTCAGGGTCCGCCAGGGTCATGGGTGGGAACCACATTGCTGATGTGTAGGGGCAACCATGGCACCTGTCACCACCAGCCCTGCCCCCTGTGCCCCTGAGCCCAGCCATTCCTCTCATGGCTGCTGCCTCCCCCCACCCTCCCCCCAGTTCTTGGACAAGCCGGAGGACGTCTTGCTGAAGCACCAGGCCAGCATCAACGAGCTTAAGAGGACCCTGAAGGAACCCAACAGCAAACTGATCCACCGGGATCGAGACTGGGAGCGCGAGCGCAGGCTACCCTCCTCGCCTGCCTCCCCGTCCCCGAAGGGCACCCCTGAGAAAGCCAATGAGGTAGGTCTCGCCCGGGAACCGTTTACTTAGGGACTGTGGGGAAAGAGGTACTGAGGTGTACTTACTGCGGGTAGCTGACAGCAACTCGGTCTGCCCACCTGTATGTGTCTCCCATGGCTACAGTGCTACAGGGTGGGACGGTGGGGACAGGGTGGCAGCTTCTGCTGAAGAAGACAAATGGCCTAGATCTTGGAGTCCTGGACACCAGGAGCCACCTTGAAACATTCAGAACTGGAGACTTGTAGCAGCTTGGCTTTCTCGCCACCCATAGCCATGGTACCATGGGGGGAGGGCGTGCTTATTAGAAATGCGGGTTCCTGGGCCTCCTATCAGATTTACAGAACCTGACTCTTTAGAAGTAAAGCCCTAGAATCAGCATTTTAAGCCAGCGCCCCAGGCTATCTCATTCATGCACCCCCAAAACCGAGAACTTAGGCAGTTCTCTTCCATCAGCAGACCCTTCCATGCCCTGCTGGGATGGAGGTCTGGTGCTCCAAGGATTAAATGTGTGTCTGCTAACTAAAAGCTCAGTGGTTCAAACCCACCAGCTGCTCCCCAGAACAAAGTCAAACTCGCTGCTTAGTTGATTCTGACTCAGAGCGACCCCATAGGACAGGGTAGAACTGCCCCTGTGGGTTTCCGAGACTGTAATTCTTTATGGGAGTAGAGAGCCCCGTCTTTCTCCCACCAAGATTACAGCCTTGAAAACCTAATGGGCAGGTCTACTCTGTTCTCTTGGGTTGCCCTGAGTTTTTGCCTCTTGAAAGGATCCTCAGAGTCCACTGAAAACCAGACACACACACACACACACACACAGACACACCAACCAGAATTCGTTTCTCATGCTTCAGCAAAGGATCCCACACAGCCTGCCTTTGAGTGGAAAGCACACGGTTGTTCCTCAACCAAAAAAAGAGCGATGAAGACTTTGTGCCTGTGTTTATCATCACAAGCACTTATTTTTAGTGCTGGTGAAATCATGTCAATATTTACCCCAGTTTCTACTTAGATTTTTTTTTCTCCTCCAGGATTTTTGCTTACTATTCCCAAATGTGTAGACTTACCCTGCCTGGCTTTGAATTCTAATTCCCCTGGCTGGCCAGCCAATGCTTTGGGCTTGTTATTTAACCTCACTGAGCTTCCATCAAGTGTAGAATTTTTACAAAGGAGTCACGCCGTGGGGCTGCTGTGAGAGTCACATGAGCTGCAGCATGGAGAGGGACAGCAGAGGGCAAGGCTTGTGGCAGATGCTAAATGCAAGTTACTTTTTAGTTCATTCTAAGGATCCTGGGACTCTTTACAGAAACGATTGCCTTCGAATCAGAACGACCTTGGAACCTGTTCTTTCAAGTGCTCCTTCTACAGATGGGGCCACCAGGGCCCAGAAGGGGGTAATGCGACTTCTAGAAGGAGAGCCAGAGGCTGATTTTTCTGTATCCTGGGACATGGTGTTTGCCAGCAAGTCAGTAGGTGCCCGCTGCCTCGAAGCCAGACTAGATCTTGTCCAGTCGTAGAGTCAGTTGTGTGTGTGTGTGTGTTGTCCTCTAAACCTGTGCAAACTGGTGATGCATTCAGAATCTAACAGACAGGGTCTTTGAGGGAATGGCCCTTCCCAGCCTGTCCAGGCCAAGTCACAGAGGGCGTGGTCCAGTGAGGCATAAGCTCAAAAGAGCCTAGTAGCTTCCTGGCTGCTAATTGACAAAACTGGAGGTGCTGTGAAGACTGCTGGTAGCCATTATGACCAGTGATGTGACAAGAGGACAAACTTCTGCATCCACCAAGGGCTCCTGTAGTTGCTTGTCACACACCAAGATTGGGGCTGTGAGGCTGATGTGATGAGCTCTTATTGTTAGCACCCACACACCTCCTGACGAGAGAGAGGCTTGGCCAGAGCAGCCTGCAATCAGTCATTCCTGAAGTGGGCGGGGCCTGGGCCTGACTGTAGGTGAGGTCAGGTGTAGAGGCTGCTGGAAAGGTTGGACTCCAGAAGGGAAAGGGAGGATGAGCACAGGCAAACTAGTCTGACGCCTGGCCGCACCTCTGCGACATGCCGCTGCGTGGTGTGAGCTGAGGGTGCCCTGCTGGTCATAACTGGAACTGCTAGAATAGGGGTGGTGTGAAGGGGTAGCACCTGGCCCCTCCCCTCTTTCCATCCCAGCCGTGTCGTCCCCTGATGGAAAGAAGTATGTGCTGGGAGCTCACCCGGGAATGATGGACCATTTAGAGCTGGCTTGCAGGACCCACTGGCACTTAGGGGCCCTTAGATTGAGGATCTGGGAGGCGCTGTGCACAAGGAGTGGATGAGGCCCTTGGCCGAGTGAGTCCACCTTTCTGAGCCTTGCTGCCCCAGTCCACCAAAAGGGGCACCAAGAAGATGACTCTATCCGATTGTTGGAGTGAAGCCGTAGATGTAAAACTACTTTATAAACCAGGAGGTGTTAGGCAGCCATGGGTCATTGCTGACGGGGATTAGAATCCCTGGTCCAGCTATGGGCTTTGTGGGGACATCTGGTGTGGCAGCCAGCCAACTCACACATGGTTGTTTGGGCAACACAGTGGGAACTTCAACCAAAATAAGGAGTCCAGTGATGAGGAACTGTTCCCCCTTGCTGTACCCGGGTTTCATTTCAAACAGTGTTTTTGAAGGTCTACCACTCAAACTGCAGGAGTGAATCATAGCTTTCCCCAGAGTCACCCAGGAAAGACTTGGCTTCACAGCCCAAATCGGATGGCTCCAAACGCTCCTGAATGACAGGATCGGGCAAGGACCTGAAGTCGCAGCGCCGGCTGCCAGCTGACCTTGGGCCAACCTCCCTTCAGTGACTCAGAAGGGCAGTCACAGTCTTGATCCATTTCCCCCCTGCCTGACCTAGTCCACAAACCCTAAGGATGTTGCATTTACCAAGCGGGGCTATTTACAGACTGTGTGTGTGTATATATATATGTCTTCCCTGCTTTCTCTCTCTCCCTCTCTTTCTGTCTCTGTCTGTCTGTCTGTCTCCTTTTCCTTTGGCCCTGGGCCTCCCCTGCAGTCCCAGAGGACCCAGGACACCTCTCAGCAGGACTTACTACCTGAGTCTGGAACAGTCACAGGCTTGGAAGTGTTCACGCAGAAAAGCCTCGCAGCATCACCTGAGGTTATTGTCTGTCTTCACCTTTCAGGCTCCTTCCCTCCTGCCCCATACACCTCCACCTTCTAGGCGTGAAGAAAACTCGTCCTCTGGGGTGGAAGGGGAGGACCAGACTGTGTTATGCAGATGGGAGTTCTAGGTACCAGCACATGCTATCCCCAGGCTGGGACAAGGGGCATCCCCATCCCAGAGATCCATAAAGGGCCACCCCCTCCTTCATCCATTGTTTCTCAGAAGGGACAGAACTGGAACCATTCTGAGTTAATCGTGGTTTCCAGGGAGTAAACAGAAATGATCTCTGCCCAGCCCTGGTGAGGCAAGTGACATCAACCAGGCTCTAAGCTCTGAGATCAGAGGTCTTCCCTGAACTCTGGTTTCTGCTCAGAAGCCAGACGATCTGTCTGGTTAGGGGATGGCTTCCCATCTATCTTCAGCCTTCTCCATCCTCTCTAAACTCCTGGCTAGGATCCCTTCACGTCTCCAGGCTAGAAAAAGTGGGTGTCTTTCCCTAGGGAGCACCCTGCAGGTTAAAGTGTTATCAGGCAGCAAATATCTTCAATGAGGAAGGCTTTGTTGCTGTGTCAAGGCCGGCCAGGGTCAAGAGTTCTTGCTACTTCCTACATCCCGTGCATGGATGCAGGACACAGAGTCCAACCCTTCAGGGGGATGTAGCCTTCCTGCTGGACTTTGGACTCTCCACATTGGGAGATGGTGCGCAATTATCTGGCTGAGCCTTCCTTCTCCCGGGTACCTGACCCTCCTCTGTCGGTGTAGCATGTGGGGGAGGGCGTATATCCCTTTCTGGACCCCCAAAGAGAAGATTGTGTAGCTGTTGAAAATGTACTGGAACTGTACAATAGACATACGTGGTAAAACACAGAGCACAGTTCTGTGCCATGAATTTCCCTCGACACAAAAATGAAAAACAAACTGCCGGCTCACTCTCATGAGAGAAGCTGGACAGGAGCAGTCAACAGCATTCCTAGGCTAGGGCAATAGTGATGTCCTGGAGCACAGAACTAACTGAAAGGTTGGCAGTTCAAACCCATTAGCTGCTCCATAGGCAAAAGAGGAGGCCGTCTGTTCTGTACATAATTACAGCCTGGGAACCCCCATGAGACAGCTCTACTCTGCCTGCAGGGGTACTCTGCGTCCAAATCTACTCAGTAGCAGTGGGTTTGGGTTTTTTGATTTGGCTTGGTTTTGTTTGTTTGAAGCCCAGAGGTGCTCTTAGCACCAAGAACAGGTGCTTACCCTGGGGTGGGAGCCCCCACCATGTTCTCTTTATCAGCATCCCTGCAAAGTATCCATCCAGCCTCCTGCACAGAAGGAGCTCCTACTGCTCATTCTGTCTTCAACCATCATCAGTGAACAACTTTTCATGTGGAATCATAATCGCTTGTTCTGAATCACCTGCCTGTGGGCCTGGGCCTGGTGCTGCCCCCTGGCGCCCGTAGATCTGCTCTGCATCCTTCTCCCACAATAGGTGGCACTGATTGAGACTCTCCTACCTATAATCCTTTTGTCTGGAAGCTGACCACTCCTAATCTCTAAAATAGTTTCTCCTAGGACATGGCTTCTAGAGCGTTCCTTATCCTGAGTGTGACCCAGAGTTCCAGGTGGGGCCTGAGCCGCCTGGAGAGAATTGCCTCCTAGCTGCCTCCTAGTTGGAGACCTTCTTGCCTCGGCTGTGTGGGAACAGAACTAAGTCCACCCTCCTCCCAGTGTGTCTCAGAGCTTCTCTTGGACTGTGGGTGGCATTGCTCTGTGCAAGGCTCAACAGAAAGAAGGGCCTATTTTTGCTTATTAGAAACTGAGCCTCTTTTTCTTAATTGCTCACTTTGTGATCTTAGGCAAGTCACCTCTCTTTGGGGAGCCTCAGTTTCCCTTTCTGAAGTAAGGATAACAGTACCACTTCACACATTGCCGTGGGGATTAGATTTCATGATATAGACAAAGTGTGGGCATTGCCTGGTACATTCTCACTAAATGTCAGTGAATAATTCCCTCCCCGCCCCCCCCTTATATGCTTGTTTCTTATTCTGTGTCAGCTCCCAGCTCATTCACTCTTGTTTAACTAAACTTGTTAGATATGCAGCAAGAATGTTCTAGAAGGGACCTCATTGACCAACTTTGGCGATCTTTGCCTGGCTGTGATGGTAGCATACTTTCAAATGAGGGCAGCTAAGGGAACCTTCCCAAGTAGAACATAGTTGGCTCCTGTAGGCTTTCTGAACACCTCTCTCTGGCATGGTTCAAGTCCTGCTGGCCTGACGACGTCACACCCTGAAGTCACATCTCAGAAACCCACCTTCGACTTTGTCTGGATATCCCTCTTCCCTTTCTCTCTCTTTCTCATTGACAAGATTGAGGCTTCTTGAGGTCTGATTCCATGACAACCGTGGAGGCTTGGCTGAAATTAAATGGAGGGCTAGGGAAAAGGAAGAGCCTTGATCTTTCAGAACACTCCAGATCTTATGAGGGGTCCAATTGACAGACTTCTCAACTAGTCATACCCTGGGAGGGAGAGGCCTGGAAGGTTGTCCAGTCATAGGAACCTCTTCCCCGTCTGGTCGTTGGGAGCAAGTTTTCCCACGTGTTGCCAGGGAGGTGGTCATGGTAGGGTGAAAAGAACATACTCCTCAGAACCGGGAACCAGAGGCTAGATTTCTAGGCCTGATTTCCCTCTTGCTTCCTCTGTTACCTTGGCCAAGGTACTTATGTTCTCTAAGCCTCCGTTCCATACCTATATCATGAGGCGCTTGAATTAGAGCCCTGGCTTCGAAGGAGGGAGGTACCTCAGACACTGGTGATCAGGCCCTTCAACAGGGCAGCTCTGTTTTCATATTTTATACTGGACTCCCATCATTTGTGTGAAGAAAATGTCCTGTTGGCCCCAAAATTTAAAACCCAGTGGACTTCTTCAGGCCATCCATTCCTTCCCTCCTGTTGACAGAGCTCTTGAGGGGAGGGGCAGACAGTTGTGTTGATGGGCCGATGTGTTAGACTCCATTCAGTACCTTGGACTTGCTGCTTAGAGCTGTAGATCCACAGAGCCTCTCCTTCCATGGTGGGTTCTGGCCAATCCCTTTTGACTCTTCCCATGAATTTTATGAGGATCCTTTGAAGATGGGGCTGGGCCTTGGTATCGTTTCATTTGGATTAACATTCAAGCCATTGAAGCCATTGTGGCAACTGACTTGTAGCTTCTGGTGCTGGCAGCGTCTTTCTCCAGAACTTACTTGTTTTCTCCCCCAAAAGCTTGATTTTCGACTGTGGTCTATGGGACTTCATGCCGTGCTTGGCCCTCAACTTGAAATTTGATGGCACTTGGAGTCCATAGTCCACAGGTCATGAAATAAACCACCCAAGATCTCAGGAATCCCAAACCAGCCATTTAAGACTCTTCTGTCAACTAACTGGGACCTTGAGTATGTCACTGACCTTTTCCAGGCCCAAGTTTCCCCATTTCAAAATGAGGTTGAACAGAAGGATCTCTCGAGTGTTCTTTCAGCTCAAACATTCAAAGAGTCCATAAGGTGTAAGTGACTCCTCTGACAGTGGCAGTTATATTATTAGAAGAGGGTAAGGACTCCGATTTCGGGGACAGATGTGATGGTTAGGCTGGTCCTGGCCCATCTATGGATCTCTAGTTCCACGTGGTTAAGCCCCTCCTGTTTCACCCAGCTGGGGAGGATGGCTGAGGTGAGTCATTAAGTAATCTACTGGGTGTCTCGATGAAGACAAGTGGCGTTGTTTTGCCTGCCTTCCTTCCCACCATGCCATCCCAGCATCCCCCTTTCAGCTCTAGATCTGCCCCCTCTTACAGAGGGAAAAGTGACCATTCTTCAGGTACCTGATCATTTCATGTTAACTCTTCTTGCTCCAATCGAAACACAGGGTTCAGAGCATTGGGTATTTATAGAGAGAAAATACAGTAGGCCAGAAGAACTCCGTCTCGTACAAATGGCCACAACACAGCAGGAAGACAGTGGCACCGCCCTTGCAGAGATTCTCGCTGACGGCAGACTCTCCAGGGTCGACATTCTCGTGGACAAGTTTAAAGTTGAAGTGGCCACAGAAGAAAGAGTGGAAACCAGACGCAAGAACAGCCAGCAGCAAGGAAGGATGATTGCGAGTCCTGAAGATTTTGAATCCGTGTGGGAGGAAGGCCTATGGGGGAGGGAAGGCCCAGAAGGGTCTTCCCTGGCTGCAAGCTGTGTGCTGGCTGAAGGGCCCAGTGTGGACACTGGGGAGGAAACCAGCAGGAACCTACAGGTCTCACCTGCTCAGCAGGAAAACCATGTGGATCTAAGGCCGGAGATGGAGCTGTTCCAGACTTTTGGAGGGCCCACTGTCCTGGGGAGCAGGCTAGCAGAGGTGGACCTCCTGTCTCCAGCCTCCGACAAGGGAGGAGTCCAGTCATTCTTGTTGGACCCAGCCCACACGGAAGCCAGAGCCGACTCAAGCGATGAAACTGACACCTCCTTTGCCGAAAGGAGCTTCTATTTAAACTATGACGAGAGAGATTCGGAAGACGGAGTACCCCCTGCCCCCCTGGAGAAGCGAGACGAGAGCTTGGAGGCTCTTCTTGGAGCTGAGACCAGGTTGGTGCTCTCGAAGAGACTTAGCCTAGAGGATTCTGTGGTGAATTCCTCAGGCCAGCCAGACTCTGCCGCAGCTTCTGACAGCAAGGATGAAGCCCACACAACTTCAGAGGAAGTGACAGGGTCCCCCCAAAACCATGGAAGACTGGATGACCGTAAGGCATTTGTTGAGCAGCTCAATGAAGGCCCTTCTCCAGAGCAGGCGTTTGCCATGAGCTGGGAGGTGGAAGGAGAGTTGAGTCACCCAATAGCCAGTGTGTCCAAAGAGGAAGAGGCCCCTATGGATGGAGCTTCGATGGGAAAGGCTGAGCAGAGTTCCCCAGCGGAACTGAAGGACCACTCACCGCCAAGACAAGGGGGCGTCCACCAAGACCTTGAGAGCTGTGTCCTGCCTCGGGCCGTTCCTCCTAGCACCGGAAGGAAACCAGCCAAACTGAGCAGAGAGCGGGGACCAGTTCACACCCAAACAGGAGAAGCGGAGACAGAAGACAGTGGGACCTCAGCCTTTCTTCAGATGGAGGTGATCACACCGATTCCCGCCTCTCCTGATCAAGTTCTGGCTCTGGGGGCTCTGGAGGGAGCTTTTCAAAACTTGTCCCCTGGTAGGTCAGTGGAGCCATCGGAGCCCAGGGACTCCTTTGGAGAACAGCCCCCTGTTGCGCTCAGATTTTCCCATCCTCCCAACCAGAGTCTTGATCCCAAGGACCCAGTCCGGCTGATTGTGGCCCCTGATGGAGATGAGCACAGGGCACCTCCTGTCACTAGCAGAAAGCCCCGGATGATCCCTGAAGAAGCTGAGGGGGCTGCACCCGTGGGATTAATGGTTTCTTCAGGGAAGCAAAGGGAGATGGCCTATTTCCAGGCTGGGGGCCAAGGAGGCTCCCTGGAAGACATTAGCAAGACCTCAGTGGCCAACAAAATTAGGATATTTGAGACCCATGGAGCTGAAACTCACCGAGCCAGCCAGGGTGAAGCAAGAACGCTTCCAAATGAGCTGTCTTCGGAGGCCTTCACAGGCCAGGTGGAGCAACAGCGGAACAAGCTTTTAGACCTGGGCTTTAGCCAGCTGCAGCCCTCAGGGGACCTCGCCAGCCCGAAAGCCACACATTCCTTTGTGATGCCCCTGGCCACCAGGCACTTCAGCGATGGCGCTCCTACCACATCCCACCAGGAAGGCGGCAGAGAACTAGAGCTCTTGTCCCCCGATTCAGGCTGTGAAACCACGCTGGAGGAAGCTACTGGGGTAACTGGCCACGGGATCCCGCCCCCACCGCTGCCCCTCTCGGGGCGCTGGCCGCATGCTGCGTAGCTCTTTAGAAGCATGTTTCAGCGGCCCCTTGCCATTACTGCCATCAGAAGCTGCTTGTTATCCCTGCGAGTTCTTTTCCACCGACAAGGGCCTGAGTTTAGCCAGGCTGAATGGCGGGTGCATCTGCTTGACCCATGTTAGCTTGGCCCCTCTGGCCCACAGCTTCCGGTGTGACCTGGTACCCAGAGGGTCCATCCAACCCCAGCAGAGAAGCTGGCAGCGCCACCAGCCAACTACATACCTGCTCTGCCTTGCTGCCCCACCTGCTAGGTTCCTACCTGCCTTGCTTGGCTTCCCTAGTGTTCTTCCTTCATCCTTCCCCTTGCCCAGTTTTCCCGCTTGGAGGAAGCTGACAGTTCAGCGGTTCCAATCCTTCGCTTCTGGTTCCCTCTTGGCCCCAGTGCCCAATCCCTCTCTGCCTCTTTAAGACTAACCATCTTCTCTAATCCAGAACAAACCCAGAGATGCGATCAGGGAAGAGAAGCGCTTCACCATCTTAGCAATGGACACCCCTGGGAAGGGAGGGCGCCTGAGACTCGCCAGCCCCTCAGGCCCTCAGGTCTCTGCAATTCCTCTCTATCCTGATGACCCGTCCTCTGTACCTGCAAGGATGCCTCGCTGCCTTAGATTCCCACCTGCCTCGACCACTTGTCTCTTGTGACTGCTCAATTCTGGCTTGTCTGGAATGCATTGCTCTCGCCTCTCAACCTGCCAGCAACTGGCTGCAGGGAGGCCCTGGTAGGGCATTGTGCCCCTTGCAAATGAACCTCTAAGTGGACTGTATCTCCAGAACCGGAAGCCAAGTTCTTTTAAAGTGCTTTGTGGGTGTTACATTGACTTGGAGGGGAAAAAGAATGTCTTGAACCAGGTTTTTTTGGGGGGGGTTTTTTGGTATTAAAAAAAAGAAAGGGGCGCCTGCGTGGTGTTCAATCCCGGACAGGCCAGTTGAGAGGTCTGTCTGTCTGTCGGACAAGAGCAGCTGGTTTCCTTTAGGCATTCCTGGGCCTGCTGTTGTCAATTACACTGACAGGACCAGTACCTCCACTGCGTGGCCTGCCTACAAGCCCCCTCTGGAGGTCTGGGATGGAATGGTGCCACACCCAGCTCCCAGGGAGCTTGAGCCTGAAAATCCTCCCCCTAATGTGCCTGTCTGAAATGAGGCTGACCACGCCCCCACCCCGCGCCACCCCCATAAGGACTCAGTGAAATTGACGAAGTGTTTTGGCTGCCTCTTTGCCCTCCA